TTAAGACAGGATAATAAAAAGCCAAATTAGATGGTCATTCAAGTGTTGTTAATTCAATTTGTTACTCTCCTAATGGTACTACATTAGCATCTGGTAGTAGGGATACCTCTATCCGTTTATGGGATGTAAAAACGTCAAAGGAAATACTATAATCAGACAATAGGTATACAGATTTGCTTAACATACCTCTTAAGAATAGCTCCTTATTGCCAAATGGTATTTTTTATTAATTATTATTTAGGTAATCCTGATTGTACATTACTTAGAATATGTTAGAATTATTTGTTAGAAGCATCAGGAACACTTATACTATATGGACAATTCATTAATCATTAAGAGAAAGATTTAAAACCATTGTTTAAATCTAAAGGAAGTTTCTTTTTAGAAGACATAAAGCAAAAGAAGTGAATTTGATTATTCATAATCAACATAATAATTACAATTTTAATCATCTTCTTATTACTTTAGTTTTTTGTTTCAATTCTTGATCTTCATTCTTAAGATATTATTAAAATATATATACTATTTATTGAGATGTCATAAACAACTGGTATAAATTAATATTTATAGAGATTTAATTTTATTACAGTAGGCTTGCTTATAAGCAGGTTTAGTCTTAAAATAATTAATAGTTTAGTAAAATTTAGATTTTTAGTTTCTAAAAGGTAAAGATACAATTAATAACAAAGATAAGAAGAAAGATACATTTCAAGAATTTAAAAAAATAAACTTGATCTTAGAAAAAATCTTAAATGATATCAAAGTTATTTTCAATTGATATTAAAAGTATTAGATATAATCAAGGACTGAAAAGATATATTAATCATCAATAAGTATTCTAACCCCTAAAAGGATTTAGAGATCATAATTTTTTCATCCCTAACAACCATCTAATAATCTTAAATAAGCTTTATGTTAATTACATCCAAAAGGAACTACTTTCACCAATAATTTTGCATAATTTATATACGTAATTAACAGAATTCGATACCAAAGATTTAAATACTTAAAGTAAGAAATTTAATATATGAATGTTTAATCATAAATGCATTTCTTGATTTTATAGGTGATTATTTGATGTTGTTGATGATTTGTTTTATTCTAATAGATGAAATACAAGTTATATAATGACATTGTTTATAAAGTTTTAGTAATGAGAAAAATTTATGAAATTGACTTTAATAAACAGAATTACTACTCTACAGAATTATATGTAAAGATAAAGTCAACTTTTAGGGAAAAAAATATAAATGTTGAGAACAGAGTGCAATTTTTTGAAATTTATTGTGCATTTAACTGCCATTGTTATCTAAAGGGATCGAATGCACTCAATTTATTATTCGAAATGAAAGTGGATTTGAGAGAATAAAGTTTTAAGAATCTAGGGATTAGAGTTCTTTTGGTTGGTGGAAATTTTTTAAGATGCAATTTCAGTGGATCAGAATTTGATAATGTGGAATAAATGGGATGAACTTGAATTAAACCTAATTGTTAAATTGTAAATAAAAAAATTATTAAAATATATGAGTTAAATAAATTAGATGGTCATTCTGGTTATGTTGTGTCAGTCAATTTCTCTCCTAATGGTACAACATTTGCATCTGGTAGTTATGATAGCTCTATTCGTTTATGGGATATAAAGACAGCGAAAGAGATTTTACCTCAAGATAATTGGTACAAATACCTTCTATCATAATTTAAATTGCCGCTTTAAAGTCGATCCATTTCATTAAATCTTATTTAACAACACCATTATTTATCAATGTTTATCGTACAATACGACGAATATGTCAACATCCAATTTTGAAAGCTTCAAGGAGCTTTATTGAGATGAGTTTTTGAAAATTATTAAGGTAAGGATCTAAAACCATTATTCAAATCTAAAATTTGTTTGGTATTAGAAAAACTAATACAAATGAAATAAGATTGATAATTATTAAATATTATGGAAACAATAGTATCATTTATTTTCTAACTGCTGAAAAATTTTAATAACATCTAATATGAAATTTATTTCTAAATTTTTTTATGAAAGAATTTGAGACATGCTCATAAAGTTCAAAGTTAAATGAAAGGTTAAATTCTCTATCACGAAAAAAAAACGATAGTTAATTTTTCATTTAGTTATGCTAATTGTATTAGTTATAGTATGTATTATTTCAAATGACATAACAATGTTTATCAATTGAAATTTGCTATCATTCCCTCAAATGTTGCTTTACCTCTAAGTTTACTAAACAAATACAAGTGATTCAGACTTTATTCTATTTTGTTTTTATACTCAAGTATCAAGCAGCATCAGAGAATAGGATTAATTTGCTCAATAAAATATATGAAAGTAATTATTACTTAGTAATATTAAATTTATTTTAAGTATGATTTATTAAAGAAAAATGTTTAATTAATTATAATTATTGTTTTAATGATTTAACCAATTTTCTATTAATCATAAAGAAGAAAATGTAGTATGATAAGGGTAATAAATTGTTATATACTTTATTTAGGATTTGCATTAGCGGATATAAATCAATTTCTAGAAGCAATTAAACGTTTTAAAGAAGATTTACGATATGATTTAGCATAGATTGGCAAGGGTAAATTATTTTTATTGTAAATATTAGGTAGTGCATTAACCAAATTAGAGCAATATCAAGATGCAATTAATTGTTACACTGAAGCTATTTCTATTAATCATAAATTTGATACTGCATGGAGTGGCAAAGGTAATTCAATGTTCAATTTAAAAATAGGATAAGCATTAGGCAGTTTGTATCAATAAAATGAAGAAATTGAATGTTTCAATTAAGCCATTTCTATTAACCCGAAATATGCGGAATTACTTTTATTTTGCTGCATAGGAAATGGGTATTGGTCAGAATCCTTATATAAAAAGCTAACTATTAAAGTTATGAAGCATTATCATCTTCATAAATAAAGGATTTAATAATATTGTGTAATTAAATTTCCAAAAAAAAGTGATTTACTTAAATTAATCACTTCTAATATTGATCTTGCTATTGCTATTGGGCAATTAAGAATTCTTGCAGTAATAAATAATTAACATTTAGGTTTTGAATTTAGTTTTTTGAGAAAAATATCAGGTATCCACTAGAGTCAAATACTAAAAATGATTACAGAAACGAATAAAGAGAATCTCACCTAGCAAGAATTTTCTTTATTTGAGTGTCATTCCATAGAGACAGAGAATTTTAGAGAATTTTGAATTGCTTTATTGAGTGACAAGATTTTGAATAAGTATTATGTGAGCAAAAGTCAAGTTGAACTAAGAAATTCTAAACCAAAAAAGAGATAAAGCCTTATACTCAATTTTGATTCCTTAATTCGGATCATATACTTTTGCAGAAGTTAAATTCTTTATAACAATCAAAATTGCTCTTAAGTGATCTGCAATAATGTTCTGAGATTCAAAAATCTTAAATTTTTATTCTAACAAAGTTGATAGCAAATCAATTTTTCTTTAAGTATTGAATAATAAGAAAAATTAAAGTAGAAAATATGGAAAATAATTGAAAAAAAGAAGGCTTAAAATTGGAATATTTGCAGTCAGATATTTGAACTTCTTAGACATATGTGAAACAGATTAGACCAAATTAGAATAAATATAAAAATACTCAAATTATTGATAGTAAAGTACTTATGTTTGTATTATCAGAATCAACTCTCTCTACCAAATGATTAAAAAAAACAAATACGTAGAATTAATATATACTTTACGATGCAAGTTAAATGCCAATTAACTTGAAGCGAAAAATTTATTCAAGGCCTTTTTAAATTATATATAAGTAATATTGGTCAAATTTAAGAAATCAATTTTGAAGAGGTTAGTTTTTAATTATGGTATAAACCTAAACTGAATTTTAGGTTTACTTAGGAAATCTTCAAATTCACAAATGCCAGGTGGTACCATGACATTAGTATGACTGGATAAATTTTCCTAGCTAGTACGGCCGGAATATGGATGCAGGGTTTTCCTATAGTACGGCCGGAATAGGAATGATTTTCTTCAGCCCCAACGGCCGGAATACGAGTTAAATTGTCCTAGCCAGTACGGTGGATTAAATTTTCCTATCCAATACGGCCGAAATACAAATCTCTATCTGTTTAAGGAATGTTAAAACAGCCCAAGAGATTATACCTGATAATTAATTCAAAGACCATCTATCTTAGTTTAAATTGCCACTTTAACATCACTCAATTTTAATAATTGCATTTATTAATAGTATTCTTTAGCTGAGATTGATCGTAAAATCTTACGAATATGTTGAAGTTTCAGGAGCTTTTATTTTGAAAGGAGCAATTAAAAATTATACAGATTAAGATTTAAAACCCTTATTCTAATCTAAAGTAAATAATTGCAATAACATGAGGATTATTAAAAAAATTTCATACATATTTTAAAAGAACCTTTGAATAAATTTAATAACTTTCTTTTAGGAAAATTAGTACTACATTTTAGTTGATTTGTGAATATCTAAAATCTGAAGCATGAGAAATTTATATCCTAAAAAGGTTTAATTAATTAACATGATTGAACCCTGTAAAAAGGTCTATTTTATATTTTAATATTTTTACCTCTGTATAAAAGGTCCTTTAATAATCTCTCCACTATATAAATCTCATAATTAATTTTGCCTTGAAGAAGAAAGATTTATTATACACTCTACAGCTGAATGTAAAATAAAAGCAAAAGAAATAAAAGATATTTTTAGGAGAACGTTTAGTTCATCATTTTTTAAAAGTTTAATCGTCTATTCTTAAACCACCTCTTATATTTTCAAAGTAGAGTTTGTTGTATAAAGGTTATGATTTAAGATCTTTATTTAAATCTAAAGGTTGTTTCACTTTCGAGAATGAACTCAACAAGAAAAAAATAGATAATTATGAAAATCCATTTAAAATATTCTCATTATTGTAAGGTTTAGTTGACTAAATAGTTATAAAAATTCTTTGCAAGCAGAAAATCAAAAATACCTGATTGCAAAATTCTTCAACTTAAAAGAGATGTTGATTTTCAGAAGACTTTATAAAAATAAAAAATAGCTAAACTCCTTCACCTTTAGAAATAATAATTATATTAGTTAAAAGTGTATTGTTTTATACATCGACTTTGTTAAGTTATAACTTTGCTTAAAAACAATCTAATTTAGAAAAAGTTTCACTCTTTTGACTTGAGATCCTAAGCTTTAACATTTTGTGGATTAAAATAATTATTAGGAAAAAGTGCATTTATATTTAGTAGAAAATTTGCGACTTTTTTATGAGTAGATATATATGCAAAGTTTATTGAAAAATAAAGATTTGATCTTTATTTTGCTCACAATTTAAATTATTTCTTAATATTAAGAATCTGAGATATAAAGTAAATCAAATTAAAGGGCGAAATTCTATATCCTAAAAGCTATATTTTAATTTCGTGGTATGGATAATTAGATATAATATTTTATCCAATATCAAGTAATTAATAGTAATTGAAACCGAATTTATAATGAGATTCGATCTATATTTAAACCTTCCAAATAGTATCAAAAACCATTTAAATTTTTATTATAAATAGAATATATATAGCATCCGAAACCACTTGCCTAGCAACAGGCAAAACAAGCCAAGCAAGACGATCGGGCTTCCACGCTCCCAGAGTCGACTTTGTCTCACGCACTCCAAGGTAGGTTATATAGAAGGTCTTCCTGTAGGGACCGGGATTCGTTGCCTTCTCATGACTGTCGTTTCTTTAAGAGAAAGTCAGGCAGGGCTCCTTTTACCAACCCCTGTAGGTAAATCAAAAACAATCTATAAATTATTATACATAATAACAATAAAGGAGAAGTCTGTGGTTCCTTTATTTGTGGTTTATCAACTGGGGCTTCTTTTAATAATCATTAAGAATAATTATGACAATCTATTTTTTTGAGAGACATGCCAAATATTAGTTTTTCAAGAGGTGTCATTAAAAAAAAAATAAAGTGCAACTTCTCCTTTAATCTTATCTAATTCTTGTTAATAATTTCAAATAAAATGAATATAAAACAATATAATTTAAAAAATTTGATCAATTTTCCAATCAATTTTTTTGTTCATTCAAATCTAAGATCACAATATAGAATAAAGATCCATGAAATTCAACAAAAACATTACTTTCAAAACAATATTTTTTATTCTGTGATTGCAATCAAATGCGAATAAACGCCGATTATAAGAATATCTTAAACAAATGATAAATCATTCTTTAATTAAAATTTTAAATGATTAAAAATTTTTTGTAAAATGTGATGTAATATTTTTATTAACTCTTCTAGATAATAATCTGAAATTAATTTTCTTTTCGAAATTATTATCATACGTATACATAGCTTTCAATAATTATTTAATTACAAACTACATAGACAATGATTTCATTTCTGAAGATATTATTTCTGAAATCGATAATATATGAAAATTGTTTAACAGACAACGTAGCTGATTGTAGATATACGGATTTTTAAATCGTTGGGTTAAGTTCTTCGACTTTAGATAGATGTGGAAACTAAGTTAAAAACCTATTAATGGGCCCTTATGGATATTAAACAACTGTGACCAAGACATTAACAAATGTTCCTCCAAATAATTTAATTGAATTAAAAGTTGGTATTTGGAAACTAGACTCTTGGGATAAAGAAGGATTGGAGATTCATGCAAACGATGTTTAAATAGAAAATTTAAAATTGGATTATCATGATGGAACAATGATCTGTAGAAACGAGATTTGGGAAGATTTACTTTAGCCTCTTTCATTAAGATTTTAAATTACAGGAACTGATTTAAAAATAAAGTTAAAAGACAATCTACAAAATAATTCAGGTGAAGATCTTTGGGATGGTATAAATTGAATGATTTCTAGAATCTTGGGGTTTCAGAGACTTTATTTTGAGACTTGCCGTTCCATGTGTTAACTTTTATAGTGAATGTAATTACTTAGGAACATTATTTTAAATATGTTAGGGAGAAAAATCCAAGTTACAAAATGAAATTCCAAGTGAAATCAAATCAATTCTTATGGGTCCTGGAATAATTGTAAAATTGAGAAGTCCGAACTATTTTGCTGGAGTAATTTAAGAGTTCACCTCTTCATAGCCATGTTTGAATGTTTATCACGTATTGATTTAAATAATCAATTTTAGTTTCCAAAGGTTAACTATGAAGAATGATTAAAAATATATTAAAAAAAATACAATTTAATCTGTATAAATTCTCCTTTAATGCATTTTTTACAAATATGATTTAAATTTGCCTAAGCTTTCATATTCAATGATAGAAGCGTAATTTAAGCCTCATTGGAAATAAAAAAAAACAATATAGATTGTATTTTAAATGAATCTATCTTCAATAATCAAATTATGAATTTGATGTAATTCTTAGAACAATCTTTTCTCTTCTGTGGTCTGGCTCCTTTTATTATTTACAAAATATCAAATGCACAATGATATTTTATTTCAATTTATACTTATGATCACTTATGAAAATATTGTGAGAATGATTATTTCTGAATGTATAGTTGCACAGATTAAAGTAAAATTAGATTATAAAACAGATTGCTATTTTGCAAAATCTAAACTAAATGATATAATAGATATTAATTAAACTTGGTGTAATTTCTGGAAATTCAGTATCAAATCCACTGGAGATTTTTAGTTTTAGTATTTTGGAATGATAAAATCTGAAAGTTAGTCATTGAATTTAAAATCATTAATTTTGTTTCATAAATTAAGGTAAAAATAGACTTGAATTCATAAAAAAATATTAGAACATTTCTAGAAAATTTCTAATTTTAGAAACCTTAAAGAAGGCATTGAAGAACAAAACAACAAGATATTTTTTTGTGACCAAATTCAGTTTGGATGTTCAAGAAAGATCATAATATCAATCTTTATTTATAATATTTACTAATGGAAATTGTGTTATCAAACTCAATTTTTAGCACTAATTGAACACTTAGGTGACAAGATTAGATTTTCTGCACTTAAGAATATATATGATAATTACCTCATCTATCAATATTGGGTATAAACATAATAAACTAGCTGAATCTAGTCTTTCATATTCGATCATTTATTGTGGCAAGGGCTGTTTGATAAAGCTGTCTAAATAGATGTTTAAATATTGATTGCATAATCTTTCTAAAGACTAAGCATTAGGTGATATTTAGCTAGTGTCTAATCTATTTTAACAATTATTTTTAAATCACTAAAAAACACTCTGAAATTAACTTCACAACCATGAAAATTCTTTAATAGTTTTTAATTCTTGAAAATAGTTGAATACTTATTACAGATATGCCTCAATTTCATAACATCTATCAAATTCATAACATCTATTATATAATCCATTTCTACAGTAGATAATTAAATAGTTCAAGCAAAGGATATTTTACAATCGTCTACTTTATCAGAGAAATGCTCAATATCACCTCCCAAAATAGTGTAATTTTTAATGATTTCAATACAAGATTACTCAAGATGAACGTCTGATTGAACAACAATGACTGATTTTTCGGATTAAATTTATGAATAAAATTAGGATAAACTCAAAAATTACACTTCATTTTCTGTTAATTATGTTATTTATGAAATCTTTTTTGATAATTTTATAATTTTCCTGAGGTAACTTCGTAAGATGATCTAATTCAATAGAATAATGAATCAATTTAAATTTGAGCCCTTGTTTTGAACCATAGTTAATCGAAATAAAATTGTCAATCATTTAATTTAATATATACCCCTAAATTTATGAATTACAGCTATTTCAATGATTGTAGATGCCCCTGGATTTAGAATATTAATAAAAAATTATAAATATCATTTTTAGTAATAAAATTTAAAAAGATATTTTTAACTTTGCTTTTACAGTATTTTTAAAAGAGTCTCGGTCTTTCTCTTCTCTATAGGCTTATGTAAAAAAGTTTCAGCCAATTTGCTTCTATATGTAACCAATCTATGTTAAATTAAAAAAGTAATATATCAAGGTCCGTTGATTCGAGCAACATCGGAAATGTTTTTTAAAGGCAGCAGATTGTATATTGGATTTAGGTATGAAGGCTTAATTATTTGAAATTAGATATGTTTTTCTTTTCAAACAAATAGCATAAGTTATTTATTCTTATGAGATAATTTAACTCTTTAAATTAGGGTTGAAATCTTCTAAGAAATATCTTATATATTTACTTGAATTGAAATTCTTTGTAGTAACAATTAAAGATTAGAGTGATTGCAACTTATAATTTCTTAACTTTTGTAATTCCAATATTTGCGAGTGTTTGAATTTAAATAAGGAATATTGATAATGATTTACATTAGAATTTTATCGCAGAAATCAAAATAATTCATGAATATGCTAAACCCTTCTTGTAATTGCCCTAGTTCATATTATGGTTAAGTAGTTTGTTATCATCCATCAAAATATTAAATGAAAACCTTTGCGAATGTCTCCTTCAACATTACGATGATAGATTTTTTACTAATTGTTAAAAATGCTTTATCAATGTTTAAGTACATTAATTCATGATTTGAAATTTAATAAAAGATATAGCATAAATAGGAGATAACACTTATTAACTGTTCAGCTTATCTCAAAATAGTTTAATTTTGAGATGAGAGTCCCTGAACTATATCTATATTTATTCGATTGTATTCAATACGTTTTTTAATTTTATTCATTTAGTTAGGATTATGTTTTGAAATGATGATGTTACAGTTTCTCCTTTAAAAAATGTGGGATTAAACTCTGGAAGAAGTAAATTTGCCTTCTTAAGTAATGGTCTCTATAAAATCTTTTGCGAATAGTTATTAGAGTATAAAGAATTTGAAACTTTGATTTTTACAGTTTTAGCAATTAAGATGATAAAATTATCATAAACGTATTATTCAATGGCAAATAATAGTGTTGCAAGAAGAATTAAGCAATAAAAATAAAAATTACTGGTTATGAAACGATCTTACTCAAATTAACTCTGTTCTTTTTGTACACATCTTATAATAGTTACTACGACAGGCTAATACTCCTCTTTAATTTATTAAGCTCTAATTTTTTTGTACTTTGAATAAACTAGATAAAATATCTTTTATTGATTAAAAAAGAAATCGCTCAATATTATTGATTTAAAAATCAATCCATAAAGATGATTTAAAACTGCTATTGCTTTTCCCATAATGAATCAACCTCCCAACAATAAATATCTTGGAATTTATCATAATTAATTCTCTATTCAAAGAATTTTCATGAATAAATTAATCCTGTACAACAATAATAAACATTATACATGATTAATCGATTTTGTTATTGTTTATTGATAACGCCTTCTTTTTTTTTAATAACAATAATATTGACGAATTTTCAGACCCCTAAAATTTAACACCCTTTGTTTTAGATTTAGTGATATTAAATTTTTCAGCTTAAAATAATAGTATTTGTACAAACTTTTGAAATGAGAATTAGAATTATTCACTTTCAACTATTCCCAACTTTTTATCATATTGATAAGAACATAAACTTTATCTCTGATCCAATATTTTGAATCGATAGAAAAAATTTGATCCAATTTTTTCATTAATACCCTATATCTGTTAAATAAGTTTCTTATCTTTAAATTTCCACAAATTCATCATTCTATGAGTCATCCCAAAGGCTAGAATATCTTTACTTGGTAGAATGCCTTGGCCACAATCTCCATCCCAAAATAAAAGTTCTTCCCTTCCTGTTACCAAAAGTAAGATAATTTAAAACATTATTTTCGCCCTTATAATCATCGAACTGTTTATCAAGATTGGAAGATTTGACATTTTGTTTCTAAATTAAAATTGTGTTATCATCATTTTCAGACACTATTGTATTTTACTATACTTAAGAATTAGTATAAGATTATAAACAAAAATAATTAACTTTCGATGAATGGGAAGTAACAAATTTTGTCCAACTTTACTAATCTGTACTCAAAAAATTACATATCGCCTTTATTCAAACAATAAAGTAATTATTAGGCATTTTTTGAAATACCAATAGAAGTTATAGCGTTATCCTCTTATCAATTTAAGAATAACTGTTTAAACTTTTTTATTATTATTTTTCATTGAAAAACTGAAGATGGTACTATAATTTATTCTTAAATAATATCCCAAATAAAATTTTATCTTTAGTTATCAAAAATAAACGATATTCTGTTGGACAAGTAGGGTAAAACAGAACTAAATTTGCTTGTTCATATATAAACGGTTTTTCTTGTTTCTCAACATCTCAAATAATCACTTGTTCCTCTTTGCAACGAGAAAGAAGTGTTAGTAAATCAGGAGAAAATCATATATCTAAGACTAAGTTCTAATGGCCTTCATTCTCCTATCCTGAAATTAATTTTGATCTTTTGTAATTATAACTGATGCTATTTACAACTTTAAGGATATTGTAGATTCCTGCAATTTTTATCCTAATAGTCTCATTTATTCAGACTTCTCATTATTTTAGGAAATTGATATATCTAATTAGCATAGTTAAACAATAACGTTAATTATTTTAAGAAAAACCAATAATGATATTTCTCCAGAATACCCTGAAAATTCTGTTATGATATAATTAGTTAGATCATCAACTCTTTATCATATCATCTTTTTTTTTCTGTATTTTAAACATATAATCATCGTAAATAAATAAATTGTTATTATACTATTGCAATTAAAGATCTTCTAGTATATTTGTACATTAAGAATTCATAACACCCCATATTTTTATTAAATAATCTTCNTCAGCTTAAAATAATAGTATTTGTACAAACTTTTGAAATGAGAATTAGAATTATTCACTTTCAACTATTCCCAACTTTTTATCATATTGATAAGAACATAAACTTTATCTCTGATCCAATATTTTGAATCGATAGAAAAAATTTGATCCAATTTTTTCATTAATACCCTATATCTGTTAAATAAGTTTCTTATCTTTAAATTTCCACAAATTCATCATTCTATGAGTCATCCCAAAGGCTAGAATATCTTTACTTGGTAGAATGCCTTGGCCACAATCTCCATCCCAAAATAAAAGTTCTTCCCTTCCTGTTACCAAAAGTAAGATAATTTAAAACATTATTTTCGCCCTTATAATCATCGAACTGTTTATCAAGATTGGAAGATTTGACATTTTGTTTCTAAATTAAAATTGTGTTATCATCATTTTCAGACACTATTGTATTTTACTATACTTAAGAATTAGTATAAGATTATAAACAAAAATAATTAACTTTCGATGAATGGGAAGTAACAAATTTTGTCCAACTTTACTAATCTGTACTCAAAAAATTACATATCGCCTTTATTCAAACAATAAAGTAATTATTAGGCATTTTTTGAAATACCAATAGAAGTTATAGCGTTATCCTCTTATCAATTTAAGAATAACTGTTTAAACTTTTTTATTATTATTTTTCATTGAAAAACTGAAGATGGTACTATAATTTATTCTTAAATAATATCCCAAATAAAATTTTATCTTTAGTTATCAAAAATAAACGATATTCTGTTGGACAAGTAGGGTAAAACAGAACTAAATTTGCTTGTTCATATATAAACGGTTTTTCTTGTTTCTCAACATCTCAAATAATCACTTGTTCCTCTTTGCAACGAGAAAGAAGTGTTAGTAAATCAGGAGAAAATCATATATCTAAGACTAAGTTCTAATGGCCTTCATTCTCCTATCCTGAAATTAATTTTGATCTTTTGTAATTATAACTGATGCTATTTACAACTTTAAGGATATTGTAGATTCCTGCAATTTTTATCCTAATAGTCTCATTTATTCAGACTTCTCATTATTTTAGGAAATTGATATATCTAATTAGCATAGTTAAACAATAACGTTAATTATTTTAAGAAAAACCAATAATGATATTTCTCCAGAATACCCTGAAAATTCTGTTATGATATAATTAGTTAGATCATCAACTCTTTATCATATCATCTTTTTTTTTCTGTATTTTAAACATATAATCATCGTAAATAAATAAATTGTTATTATACTATTGCAATTAAAGATCTTCTAGTATATTTGTACATTAAGAATTCATAACACCC